AAAGTAATCCGGAGTGTTGTTCAGCATGGGGGAGAGTAGAAAATGAAGGCTAACCATGTTTTGGGTGTACTATTCCTTTAAGCGGACGGTAAGACATTCATTACACTGTTTGAGTTAATAGTGTTAGGTTTATTATTTATACATCATGTGCATTGTTATTCTGTTAGTCAGATTAGACAGAGTAGAAGGCCTTCCTTCACATTTTGGATGTCACTGTGTGTACGGAGGTCATCTAATCAGGACAGCCTTCGTGTCTTTAAAAATACACAGGATATGGGCACATCTTGGAGCCGGTCTGATAGAGGAGAGCTATCTGTAACCCTGAGGCATAGAAGCAAGCTGCATATGGGTCGGGGCATTGATGGCGTGTCAGTTTCTGATACGGACAGCTAAACATCAACATGATGCAACACATGGACTCATGAGCTATAAGAAGCAGGTGATGACCTTGTTCTGGGCTCAATTTTTGCCGGACGCTCGCGGACGTGATTTTTGAGCCCACAGCTGTGCAAGCTCCAAGCATTTTTCTCTGTCCTGTAACGACCTGATCTGGAATAAACTCTGTTATTTTTTAACTCCTGTTTTATAGTCCTTTTTATATGATTTTACCCAGTTTGAGTTAAGAGTAGTAAATAACTTGCTCCCAGGAAAAGGACCGTGAGGAAGCCCCCGAGGCGCAACGGCTTTTTTAGGGGACATAACTTCCTCATTTTAACAAAAGGTCATGATGCAAACTGTGGGAGCAGAGAAATCTTTACTACAACTGATCTGAAAAATCAGCTGAACTCACCACATTGAGGATGGAGTACACCATGAGGTCTATGGCCACCAGAGTGGACGTCCTCCAGTCCTTCACAGGTCTCACCCCTTTCTTGTATCCAGTGCTTAAGAACTCGGCCAGACGCACCAAGGTGGCATTTGCAAACCTTCCAGGGTGGCTGCTCGGCTTCTTTACTGAAAATAACCAACCAATGCCCAAACATATTCCTTTTCAAAAAAATGTACAAAGAAATTATTTTCAAAAGGTATAGAGAAGCATTGTAGAAAGTTTTGTTTGTGTTTTTTGTTTTGTTAATTTGTATATATGTATTAAGGTATATGTGTATACATATTTATGTATGTATATGTGTAGGTAGGTATGTATTTATATGGATATATAGCAACATAATTATAAATATTGTAAATTAAAGAAATACAAGAATTAAAGGGGTAGGAGTACATAAGTTTTACTTCTTCCTTCTCCTTTTCGCACGTGTAATAAAGGTATATTCATTTAGGAAAGAAGGGTACCTTGTTTGTTGTTTTTCTCTCCAATGTTTTTAAACATTTTTTTTTTTTTTTTTTCTCTTGCATGTTCGAAATAAAGAATAAAAAATAAAAATAAAATAAATAATAATAATTCATGTTTTAATTAAAAGGATCGTCAAGTTAAGTTCATACTTAAAAATATTTGTTCAACAAATTATGTTATACAGTTGATCGCTACAGCGGAACTTTCTGAACACTTTTATCATGATCTGTTGTCCAGCATCAAAGTTTTGACATACACTCAGAAGCAACATGATGAGTAGAATTTAATGAAGGATAATGTGCACTAAACATAGAAACATGGAGCAGAACTGAGGACTTGATGAATACAGGCAGCAAACTGAGAGTTTAAATAGGAAAAAGGTGTGAACAATAGAAAAATTAGGAAACACAGCTGCATGAAATCTAATTTTCAGATGATCCTGGCTGCAGAAGAAATTGTTAAACAAGAAAAACTAAGAAAACCTATCGAAGAATACAGAAATAATGACAAAGACAGTTAAAACACTAAGAAATACACAAGAGAAATGAAGTAGAAAACACCAGGTAAAATAGCAGGATAACAGAACATGTATGGCAAACCCTAAACAGCAAAAATAATTTAATTCAAAAATACTTATAATTGGATTTAAATGAAATAATTCAAGTTGGAAATTAAATAACAAAGTATAGAAAACCAAATTCACCTTAAACCATAAAAAAAAAAATAAAAAAAAACTTTAGAACCTGACAAAATAATCTCCATATAAATAAAATTAAGGCTAAGAAAGCAAGAACTGAGCTAAAATCTGTTTACTATACATGGATACCAGCTAGTTTAGTCCCAACATTATAACATTTTAACCCTTCTTCTGGCACTAGTGACTTTTATTTTGAATTAAATCTGTTGGGGACTAAAAAAGATTTTGTTTTGTTTCATTTCCTGTTCAGTTTTGCTTTTATGAAAAATGAAACAAATAAAAAACTCAATGACTTCTATGCCTGATCAATTCATTTTATCATATTTAGGAAGTTTATTTATAGTCCCAGTTCATAACAAATACCATCTAAAAACACATTCAAAGGGATCAATGGTATGAATCAATTAAGTCAGGTTTTTTTTTTATAATTTATTAAAATAAATGAACGTACATCACAGCAAATCAAGGTACTGACCTGTTTACAAGACTGCACTACTCAAGATTGCTGCAGACAAGCCAAAGCAACACTGATTGTAAAAGTGTTGGATTTCTGTTAGTAGGAAATTGACCCAAAATAACAGCAAAGAAAACTTAGAGAAACAAATCAATAACCTGATAAAAATCCAGCTAATATTTCTTTAAAGAGCAGTTTGTGGTGATGCTTTGGTGGCTTGAGAGCTCATCTCACTAGTTTCTCCATAAAGGAAATAAATGGTCAAAATGCTCTTATTACCAACAGAAGCCATTAAATACTGTTTACATTTCAGAAGGCGTGTTCAATAATTACTATTTACAGCCTTTTTTCATATCAACCGACCAAATAGGAATATATGTACAGAGAATTTCCATACAGATGGGTTAAGTAGGAAACAATTTGAAACTATTTTTTATGGTAGTTTGCTGCATATTTCTTAAAATTGAGGCGAATAAAGCTTTTATTTTAACACTGTGTGGATTATTGCTTTATGAAATAAACTTGCTAGGATGATGTAAAACGGAATCAAATCTTCTTTTTAAGGCACTTAAATACTGATTAATAAGGTGTTCCATTTAAGGCCTGCAAAATACAAAAATTACTCAGCTAGAACCTGACCGACGACATGAAGTTTACTAAAATTTCTCCCTAAAAAAGCAACCACCGAGAAGGACATTAGATGCCCACCCACTTAAAAAAATATTTTCTGATTTGAAATTAAATTGCAAACAATGGTAAAATACTTTAAATATCTTTTTTTTTATACATTCAGAAACTGAAATAATAACTAATCTTGTCTGTTGAGTTCAGTTTAAGCGACCTAAACTACGGTAATAGAATTATTTTTGTATTTAAAAATAAAGAAAACATTGCAAAAAAATTTTTATGTTTTGTCCCCTTAACTTTAATTTTTCTATTTTTAGCAGTAGACAAAATATAAATCACAACAAATAGTTATGTCTTAGGAAGATGTTAATATTAGGTAAAGCAAAGTGTAAGTTTACCTGTGCAGAATACTGCAGCTCCATGAATCAGCAGGTAAAGAAGTATCGTCCAACCAGAGGAGAGTCTCATGGTCTAAGCTGACCTGTGTCCTTGTTGGCTGCTGTGATGGTCCTCCGGTGGTTGTGATGGAAGACCTTGGGATGCCCGACTACCTTATCCTCCATATCCATCAGCTCCATGCATCACTTCACCCACTTCCACTATGAAAACCTTGTTAGTGTCCCTGTGTTGAAGTGGGCGTATCCAAGTGCTCAGAAGCCACTCCTCTCAGCTCAATAAAGCAGCAGCTCACATTAGTGGAGAGAAAGTCCATCTAGGGATCACATATCATGCCTGAACAATTACTTAATTAGGTTATACAACCACCCTGGAACTGAATGACCTGAACATCAATTAAGGAGCTTTTAGGCAAGATACCACTTCATCTGTCGATAGTAAAATCCTCATCATTAATGGCTTAAAAGCAACATTTTACTCCAGCTGCTGTTTATTAGCGTTTATTATGGAAAATAAGTGACCTATTTATTAATTAATCTGAATGATAAATGTTTATATTATCTACTGAGACCATATTTACAGAATAATTCCTTTTAAAACATTGGATTTTTTACATTTTTTTCTTATAGGTATGGTGGAGGATGTTCTTTTTCCAGGTGGAACATCAAAATAAGTGGTCCTCCTAATTTTCATTTTATATCTTTACGTAAGGTCGTCCTTGGCGAGTCTATTTCTCCTCGTGCACACTCTGTTAAGAAGTTGCTGTTTGCGTCGCACATACCAGCTTACTTTCCAAAAGAAGATTTGCAGTTTTTCCACTGTGCCATGCTATGAAAATAGGGACGAGCACGTAGGACGGCATTACATAAACATATCACCAGAATGATTGACAATTAGGAGGACCACTTATTTTGATGTTCCACCACTCTCAAACACGTTTAATAGGCGTTCCCTCTCAGAGTTGTGCGTGTACTTTTTATTTTTTAAGTGGAGAGGGCGGGTCTTTTCAAAAATTCACAAAAATCCTCCACCATACCTTTAAATAATTAAAAACTTCATTAGAAAAACTTCATTTTTGTATCCATACTGCCATAAAATTAAATGTTTGAGCCTTTATTTTGTTTTGCAAACACAGTTCTTTCCTTTTGCAAATGTCTCTTTTAAAATTATGTTATTTAATGTGTGCATTTCAGAAGGATTTTCATGATAGTTTCTTTTACCTATTATCTTGACAGAAAAATGCCATACCAACGGTGGAGTTTCTTTCCCTTTTAAAGAAAAAGCAATAAATAAATGATAAAAGTAGCATTTATATTGAGAGCAACACAAACTTACAAATTGCTAACTTTAAAGCAGGACCCTTAATAATACTTTAACCAGGACATAAAACAGTAATAAAACCTTTTTCCTCTATTGCTCAACATAACGTAACCTGATCTACTATGAATACCATCAGAATTGCATTACAATGGATTGTTCCACCAGCTGCTTTCCTGTAATGCACTTTTAATATTCTCATCATGGCTGTTAGAAAACCAACGGGGAACAGAGATGCAGCAGCTGAGATATTAATGGTTTTTACTGATCTATTTTGCGGCAGAGGGATGGAGATTAAACTATGAAAATGATATCGTAACACCACATGGGTAGTGAAGAATTGTCTCCAGAGAGCCGCCGTATTATATAGTATCTGCGAGTAAATCTTTGCAGACAGGAAACATAATAACAGACCAGGAACAATAATTCCTTACAAAACATGCAGATAAAAGTTTAATGAGGTGGACTTTTATGTAGTCAGTTCTTTCACGTAAAGCTAATTTTTTCCACAGAAAGGTGGAGTGGATCGAATGTGTCAAATTAAGGTAAAAAGAATGAAAAAAGCTTAAATTCAAACAAGTAGATATATTTTACATGTAGTTCAACCGAAGATGTAGACACGGGTTGCATTCCTTGATCAGACATTCTTAAGGACCTGAAAGTGGCATAAGGACGAAGCAAAAACTCACAAATTCAATGAAATTTAGAAAAGTATAAGAATAAAATAATATGTTCAAATCTTTTACCTACTTTTACTGAATGATATTCTGAAAAATATAAATGTAGAGACAAATAGTATGCTTAGGGGATGTAAAATTAAACAAAAAATGATTAAATTAATAAATAAATGATTACATGAATATTTTTTAGGCTCCATTTACATTAGATTGCCTTATTGGTATTTCTTTTTTCATTGTTTGCCAATATATGCATTAAGTCTGGATCGTCTTGGTTGTTGCCATGAGGTTACACTTGGTAATTTTGTATGAAACTTATGTTAAAGGGGTTTTGAGAAGAAAAGAAAAAACGTATGCAATGGAGATGGAAAGAGAGGTGAGAATAGAAGAGGGTATAAGAATTAAGGTGGAAAAGAAAAAGAGAGAGAAAGATTAAAAAGAGAAAAAAAAACAGAATTATACAGAATAGCTCCTAGAATCCTACTTCCACACCTGCAAGAAACAAGAGAAAATAGAACAATAAAGCAACACACTAAAGAAAACAAAGAGGACTATCCCACAGACTGCAGCGAATACATTTATACAAACATCAGAAGCAACCTTTGAAGATTACACAATTTTTTCAGAGCTCTATATAGTTTAAGCCGCAGCATGGTATGAAGCACAGATGTGTATCTGTCAACAACTGGATCCAAATATATTTGGTGCACATGCATTAGTGTACATGTATATATAAGGCTTATAAGACTCCTTCAACAGGGAGATTGACATGATTCAAGAGTTGACTCTGGCGCAGACACAACACGAAACTGGAAGCGGTTTAGATAGTTTATTGAAAAGTTTTGACAGAGAGATAGTTTTGGATCGGCGAAGATTCTCAGGAAACAGCAGCTTAATCAGGAACTGCACAGACATAGTGATCAGTTAGATTCGGGCTAGGGAACTGAGTTAACTAGAAAATATGCAAACTCCTTACAGGTCGATGGAGAGC